TTTTTTATTTTTTTATTAACCTAAAGCTAACGCATTTTAAAGCTAAGCTATAAATTATTAAATATTTTTAAAATACTAAATTCTTTAGTATTAAATATAAAAAATATATAAAAACTTAAATTTTAATAATAGGAGATATTTTATTCGCCGACGATTAAAAATTAAAAAAAAGCTTATAAAAATATATTATTATATTTTTTAGCGGTTTAATAATATAAAAGGCTTTTAAATAAAGCATTATATTTATTAATATAATAAAAGCAAAATTAAACGCTTTATTAAAAACCGCTAAAAAAATTTTAGTATACGAACGGCTTTATTAAGATTTAAAATTCGATTTTAAATAAAATTAAAATATTTTTTATAATAATTAGCAAATAATACGGTTTATAATAAACGATAACTTAAAAATTAATATTAAATTAAAATATATCGATATTAATAATATATAGCTTAAATAAAAATATATAAAAAAATCTTTTAAGATTATTTATTTTTAAATAAACTAAATACTAGCAAATAGCCTTATTAAAGCGCTTTTAAAATAAGAATTTAAACGCTTCGTATTTTACCTAAATTTCCGCAAAATTATATTAATATTATAAATAATATATTAAAAGCAATAAAAAAATTAATTAATAAAAACTACCGATAAAAAACGCCTATATTATAATGCTTTATTAGGCAAATAAAAAAATAACCGAAAAACCACAAAATTTAACCCGTAAAAAATATATAAACGCTAAATTTATATTTATTAATATATTATTATAAAAATCCTTTTATTTATCCTTATATTCGAGTATTATACCTAAAAACCTTTTATTTAATTATTTTTATTATCGGAAAAAAAATTTATATAAATAAAAGCAATACTAAAGCCTAAAACCGCTTTATCGAAAACTTATTATTAATAGATTTTAATAGCGACCTTAAAAATAATACGGTATTTACGCTTTACGCGAGTTTTATCGTAAAAATAATTTATATAGCGCTATATAAAAGGAATAATGCTAAAATAACTATTATAATATTAATTTTTATATTTTAAAAAATATAAAAAGCGAAATATAAATTAAAAAGAATTTATATAGGCTTATAACTATTACGATTTTTATTATAATAATAACAGCAATTTCCTAAAATTTAAAAGCATTTGCTATTAGCTAGTATATTTTTATATATGCGACTAATAATAATAGCTTTAATATAACGAACGCAAAAAATATTATTACGTATTCCCGAAACCTTTATAACGCGCTTAAGGGTATTAGCTAAATATTTTAATTTTTTACGTTAAATACGAGCAATACATTTAAAGCGACGAGCGGAAGGCTTAGGACTATTTTCCTTAATTTTTACCGACGGATAATAAAAGCCATAAATAAAGGGAATAAATATAAAAGTGCCTTTTTTACTACTAAAATAAGTAAAAAAAATAATAAATTATTTACGATTTTTAGTAAAATTAATTATTTTAAGCGATTAATCGCAAAAAATACGAATAAAAAGGGCGTAATTACCGAAAAAGGTGCGAACGTAATTACTAAAAATAGCTAAAAGCTAAATCGGAACCGGAATTTTAAAAATTCCTCGATTAAAAAAAGCAAAAAAACTAAACCTAAAAGCTTTACCGGCGCTTAAATTACTTTAAATAAAAAAACGCGATTTAACCGAAAAATAAAAAAAATCGGAATTATTAAATATAGCATTATAAAAAATTAAAACGGATAAATATTAAAAATTAAAAAAAACACAAGAATAAGCGCTAAAAAAATCGAAATTTACCGTTATTGCTAAAAAGCACGCTAGCGCTTAGCCTTACGAGCGCGCTTTTTTTTTTTTATTATAACAAAAAAGCTTAATTATTATTCGGTCCTACTAAGCCTTAAAGCTATTAAACGAAAACGGGCGGTATATATAGCTTTAAGCGCGAATTTTTTTAGGAAATTTAAAAAAAAAGCAAAGTATAATAATAAATAATATAATAAAAAAATAAAAGCGTATAATTATTTTTTAAAAAAATAATAAATAAAAATAAATTAAAAAAGCTTAAAAAAATTTAACTTAAAAGGTAAAAAAAAAAAAGAAATGGAAGCTTAGGAAATAATAGGAAATAAGCTATTTATAAATAAAATAATTAATCCGATTAAATAAACCATTATTTTTTAATTCGGGCAAAAACGCTAAATAAATATAAATTAATAAAAACGCACCTAAAATAATTATTAAAGGCCTAATAATAAAAGAATTAATAAAACTAATTGCTATATTTTATCGAATATAACTATTATTAAATCTTTTAATTATTATAAAAAAAAAGGAAAGCTTAAAGCATTAGTCTAAAAAAATGCAAACGTAATAAAAAGGAAAAGAAAACTCTAACCAAGCAAGCCTGCATTAGAAAAATTTAAAAAGCGTAAAAAATTAAAAATAAATATAACTAAATAAAAAAAAAATCTAAAACTTATCTAAACCTAATTATTAAATACTAAAAATAAATATTAAAAAAAAAAAGGAAAAATAAAAATCTTTAAATAAATAGCGTATAAAAAAGTTATTTTTAAAAAAAAATCTATAAATAAGGGAATTTCTACAAAAAAAATATTTAAATAAAAGGTAAAAATATAAAAAAAGCTTTTTTAATCCGGGTTTATATATAATAAGCAAAGGTAATTATCGCTAAAAAAAACCTATTATTAACCGGTAATTTAATAATTAAATTTAACCTTTAAAACAAAAACGGCAAAAATAAAATAAACCTTAGGAAGGATATAGGATAAATATTTAAAAAAGCTTGGGATTTTTATCCTTATGCTTAATTTAATTTAAAAATAAAAATTTTAAAAAGTTATCTAATTAATATATCTTTATTAAACTTTTAAAGGACGCCTTAAAAGCTTAAGGGGTATATAATAGTTAGTTAGACCTTAAAGGTCCTTAAAATACTAAATATAAGGAATATATAAATATCCTTATTAAAAGCAAGGAGCTTACGGATAAAATCTATACGCTCTAAGGAAGTTAATAAATCTTTTTAATAAATAAATATATAAATAGGATTATATACTCCCTTTTTAATTAAAATTTAAATAAATATAATACACCTTATAATTATACCTATACTTTTTAACGCTTTTAGCTTACTTTAATATTGTGATTCTTTTAAACCTACTTCACATGCTCCTTTAACTATATTACATTTAGTAATATATATAAAGGGGGGGTCGGGATTAAAAGAAAAAATTTAGGGTTATTTAATATTTAATTAGGATTTAAGGGCTATATACCCGTTTTGCGTTAGCTATTTTATATAATTTTTTATATAAAGGCTAATTAATAAGCCGCAGCGTAAGCTATAAGCATTTTTTGCTTTTAAATAAGTTTAATTATTGCTATTTTACGCTATTTGCTAAGCTATTAATAATAATAATATTTAAAGGAGGAAAATATATTTTTATTAAATGGCTAAAAGGCTTCGCTAATATATATAGGCAGGTATATTAACGCGATTTTTATACGATAAATTATAAATATAAATTTTAATAGCAAATAAGTATTATAGCTATTTAATATTAATATTTTTTAAAGGCGTGGCCGCTGCGCATTTTTACGGGGCCTTGTTTTTAAGCCAAATACCTGCTTAAGCCACGAAAGGGCTATAATAAAATTAAATTATTTTTTATATATAATAATAAACTTAGCTTCCTTTAAATCTTTAAAAAACCACTGCGTTTATAGCGTTATTCCTTTTAAAATATAAATTATTATAATTATTAAGCTAAAAGCGTTAATATTATAAATCGTAATTATTTATTTAATTACTCCCGATTTTTAAATACGAAAGCGACGTAATTTCGATATGCTTATAATAATCCTTTTTTTAGCTTTACCTTTTTAGACCCTAATTTTATTTATATTATATATATTTTTAGATTTAATTAAATATAGCTTTAAGACCTTATTTATAAATATATAAAACTTTTAAATAGCCCCGGAATTAATCCTATTAATCCGATTAGCATCGATAACCCGTTTTAGCTTTATAGCTAAATATAGATAGCGCTATACAAATTTATTTACCTAATTCTTTTTAATATAAATAGCTTAATTATTAAATTTAATGCTAATAGCGATTTATAAAGCTACGTTTCGTACGATTCGTTTTAAAAGAGCTTATCCGCATTATTTTTCGTATAAAATTTAGTTTTTAAGCTTTTATTTTTATAATTTTAAAAAAGTTTGCGTTAATTCGTAGGCATTACGATAAAGCCGCGTATTTTATAGCTTATGCGATAAAATAAATGCATAAATACCTAAATCGCGTGCAATTTTAATTAATTTTTTACCGTTTTCGACCTTTTTAATTGCTTTTTTTATATCGCGTTCGTTTAATTTAGTTATTTTAAAAAGATGGGATTAATTGAATAAGTGGCTGTTGAGATATTATAAAAGTGTTGTAGTTGGGTTATATTGTAGAGTGGAAATAACACGTTGCAAAAGGGGGTGCATTGCAAAAGTGGGTTCAACTGGTTAGATATGTATTTAGATATATTAATCATGGTTTTGAGGTTGCTAGACCCACTCGTTTCCCTAACCTACCTAGCCTTCAATGCCCCTAGTTAGAAGAGCTCGGACCCTTTTTCCCAGTCCCGTTGAGTCCAGTCAGTTGTCTCCCTCTCACCTCGCCAGTTCGCGACGCAGCAGCAATTTTCCCAAACGCCAACCAGGCGCGACTCCAGCCTTTCGATTCGCATCCACCACGACATCGAACTTGGCCCATTTGCGACCACGTCTAATCCCCATTCCATCATCAACGACCATTTAAATATTGTCGCTCACAGAGGCTCGACATTTTGCGACGCGCCGCACTTCAGTTGCACTCTTGATTGATTTTTCAATCAGTCAATCGCTCGCTAGCCCTAGCTTTCTTTCTATTGTAATCCATCCACCTACCTTGGTTGGTCTGGTATACAAGGGCCATCATCAAAACCACCACGATGGAAGAAGAAAACGTCAGCTATGGCTCACCAGCCAACGCTGCCACTCCTGGCAGCAACCCCATCCTCGCTCAACCGCCTCTACAGGCTGGTCCAACTGGTGAGGCTGAAGCTTCCGAAGGTTCGTCGCCCAGTCGTTTCGCGCATAATCATTACCATCAATCACGCGATTGCTAATCACGTTGCGCATAGCAGATGTCCAGATGTCTGAAGTCCAAGCTCCTGCAGAACCCCAAATCAAGCAGGATAGCAACACCCCCGCTCCTGCTGCTCTTTCAGATAACCCCCTAGATGCACCCGCGGGACCTCCCGCTGAGACCGTTTTGGGATCCAAGGAGGACGAGGAGATGGGCGATGCCCCCAAGGATGGTCAGAATGTTGAGAAGGAAGGCGAGGCATCAGCGCCCGCTGCCGGTGCCGACGGTGCTGCGACCGAGACCAAGTCGAAAGAAAGCATAGAAAACGCCGCTCGCGAACACCTCATCTCTCAGACACATTCCATCGTGCTGCCGAGCTACAGCACATGGTTTGATATGAACACGATTCACAGCATCGAGCGCAAGGCTTTGCCTGAATTCTTCAATAACCGTAACCGCAGCAAGACGTCTCACGTCTACAAGGACTACCGAGACTTTATGATCAACACATACCGTCTCAACCCAAGCGAGTACCTAACCGTGACGGCCACGCGACGAAACCTGGCTGGTGACGTGTGCGCCATTATGCGCGTGCATTCTTTCTTGGAGCAGTGGGGTCTGATCAACTACCAGGTAAGCTCGACTCGTACACCTTATTATCCCATAATCAATCGTGCTAATGCATGGCATGCAGGTCGACGCCGATCAGAGGCCTTCGCCAGTTGGTCCTCCATTCACAGGCCATTTCCAGATCATTTGCGATACACCCCGTGGTCTCCAAGCATGGCAGCCTTCTGCGGATCCCATTGTCGTTGATGGCAAGAAGAATGTCGACACCGACCAAAAGGCCGCTGCCACTCCGACGGCTGCTGGTGAGCGCAACTTGGAGATTGGCCGCAACATTTTCGAGGCCAGCGCCAAGGGCAAGCAATTGAACAAGACGGAGTCAAAGACCAACGGCGAAGCTCCTGCCACTAATGGCACTGCGAGCGCCACGCCCGATGCCGAAGAGTTGACAAAGAAGCCTATCGCCAAGGTCAACTGCACAAACTGTGGCGTGGACTGCACCAGAGTGTACTACCACCTTCCAGAAACTCAGGGTCCCGGCAAGGCCAAGAACGACGTTTGTCCTAGCTGTTATCTGGACGGCCGTATCCCCCACAACCAGACCAACAACCAGTACACCAAGCTGGAGAACCCGACCTACTCTGCAGTACTGGACCGCGACGCTCCATGGTCTGATGCTGAATTATTGCGTCTCTTGGAGGGTCTTGAGAAGTACGATGACGACTGGGCCGAAATTGCAGAGCACGTTGGCACCCGAACAAGGGAAGAGTGTGTCTTGCAATTCCTGCAGCTTGACATAGAAGACAAGTACCTCGAGTCGGAGGCCCCAGTACACGCACCTACAGGTCTTGGTCTTTTGGGAAGCCACGGCGGCCAGCTTCCTTTCAGCAAAGCTGACAACCCCGTAATGTCGGTGATTGGTTTCCTGGCAAGCTTGGCAGATCCCAAGAGCACAGCTGCCGCCGCCAAGCTATCGGTCGAGGAGCTCCGGGCTGGCCTGAGGAACAAGATCGAGGGTGGCGAGGACAAGTCGAGCGAAAAGGGCAAGGAAAAGGAGGGCGACTCGATGGAGATCGATATTAGACAAGAGACGACCACTACCACAACTACGACCACGACCACAACGGCAGCTGCAAGCATCCCTCTAGCCATGATGGCTGCTCGCTCAGGTGGTCTAGCTTCTCACGAAGAGCGTGAGATGAGCCGCCTTCTCAGCGCCGCTGTCAACGTGACCCTGCAAAAAATGGAGCTCAAGATGAAGTATTTTGAGGAGATGGAGAGTATCTTGCAAGCTGAGAGACGCGAACTCGAGCGTGGCCGCCAGCAGCTGTTCCTGGATCGTCTCGCGTTTAAGAAGCGAGTACGGGACACCCAGGAGGGTCTCAAGACAGCCGCGGTCAATGGTGACATTAAGATGAGTGGCCTTGAATCGCAGGGCTTAACCTTTGCGACTACACCAGCAGTGGGATCAGTACAGCCAGTGGGTGCGGATGGTCAGATCAAGAGCTACGAGGCATAATGGTAGCAACCCAACTCGACTGTTTTTCTCTAGCATAAAAAGGGTCGAACATGTGTTATGGAAGCGGCGAAAGGATAATTCTGAGGCTTACTGGTCAGGTTCTTGATATTTTTTTTCTCTAAGGCGTTTTTGGTCGGCCCAAATGGCCCATCCACGGCATCCTGACAGTACCAAGTATGCTTTTTTTGTAGATTCATATGTACCACCACAAAGAGGTTATAAATAAAGTCGACTTGGTTGGTAAAGAAACTCGAACTTTATACATTGTAGTGGTGTTTCCTCTAAACTGTGAATATACTGGCCTCACTGAATTTCCCACTCACTCACATACTGGATATTGTCCCTCCAGTCCGTGCCAGCCGGCTCAAACTCGCGGTGCCGGGCATTTCGCATGGCCGGATTTGTATTCGACGGCGCATCACTGGGTATCTCGACCCTCCTGAGCATGGCTTGAAGTTGAGCTTCCTCGCGTCTGCTGTTGTGCATATCGTGCTCCTCGGCCTCGGCCTCCATCCTGTGCTCCGTCTCAATGCGCTGTTGCAGGCCTTGCCGAGCCCGGGTGGTGAATCCGTAGTCGGCCGAATAGGAGATGGCCTCGTGCAAGTCGCGCTTGACCGCGTCCTCGTCGACGTCTGGGGCGACATCTTGCTCGTCTACCTCATCGCCGGTTTCCTGGGTCATCTCTTCATCTTCCGGCAAGGAAGAGGCGTCTGAGATATCCATCGTGTCTTCTTCGTCCTCTATTTCTGTTTCTATGTCTCCGCTAGAGGGTCCGCCGGCCGCCGCCGCACTATTGTCTTGCACGGAGTACTCAAGCGCCGTCTCTACGTCGTGATAGGACATGACGTAGTCTCCGTCACTCTCCTCGTCTCCCGGCTCTTCTTCAGGTGCCGAATCCGCCTGGTCATTGACGACATCGATACGAAGTCTCCGGGCTGCCCCCGCCCAAAAGTCGTGACTATTCGTCTTGAGATTGAGCGAGTCCACGGCGGCCTTGACGTCCCTCTCCTTGACCAGAGGTCTGGCGTGGGGGAAATACTGCCGCTGGGCCTTGAGGCGCATGCCAGCCATGAAGAGGGTGCTCGCCACCAGCCGCCTGGTGATGCTGACGGCCAGCGAGTGGAAGTCGGCCAATGCCGTGGCCCGAATGGCTGGGGGCTCCTCGGAGACGTAGCGCCAGTTGTAGTCTGGGATGGCCGAGTTCATAAAGAGGCGGTCGGACAAGCGGAGCCAGGTCTTGGCCTTGAAGAAATCGAGAAACGGCATATCTTCGTCCTTGATGCTGCCGCCGCCGCCGTCGGGCGCATCCTCGGCCGCATCGGGCGTAATGAGCCACCGGTCGCCCCACCGCTTCTCTTCCGTCGAGGCCTCGTGATTATCCTGCCGCAGCGAAAGGTCGTCCGCGGCCTCCTCCAGGGCAGCGGTGCACTCGTGGCTCAGCTCCGCGGCAGCCGGTACCTCTGCGAGCCGCAGCGTCCTGCGCCGCCGACTGCGCGCGTCCCGGCGCTGCCTCGCCCGGTCCTCGAGCAGAAGCAGGAACTGGCGCACCTCGAGCGGGCCCTTGGACCCCACGCGCGCCGCGATGCCGGGCAGGTCGTCGCGGCCCAGCCGCCCGAGGGCCGAGAAAAAGGCCTCCTTTTCGACGGGCGACCAGCGCACCGCGCCGACCTGCGTGGGCGGCTCCAGCAGGTCCGCGGCCGCGGCGTCGTCGGCAATCAGCGAGAGGGCGGCGTCGGCAATGTCCTGGTTGAGCAGGCTCAAGTAGTCTGGGTTGAAGGGGCGGCGCTGGCGTTTGAGGGGCGCGCCGGCGTAGGGAGGGAGGTGGTGGGCCTTGCGCTTTTTACGAGACCTACTTCTCGACGATGACGACGACGACGGTGATGCGCCGTCTTCCGAGTCCAGTTCATCTGCACTTTCGCCCGTCTGACTCCTCTCTGTGACATGCCGGCTGGGTTCAATATCCGAGTTTTGTCCTTGTGATTCGTGCTCGGACGCGCCGAAATTGATTTCGCTCGGGACGTAGTCGTCCTCGTCTGATATGGTCGCCATCTCGCTAGTACTTCTTTTTCTGTCTTACAATATACACACAGAGTAGGCCCGGCAAGCACGACGAATATCGGAAAATTCAAGTCGTCTAGCTGACTCGTGACTCTGGCAATGCTGATGTTTGTGGCCAGGTTGAGAATCGAAAAAGCTTTGCTGATAATCATCCACTTGCACTATGTGTTGGGTTTCTCAAATATCCTCCCTCGAGCCAGGATCTCAGAACCTGAGGAACAGAAAATAAATTCGTGGCCTCTTGCTTCGGCCATGCGGACCTGGATAGTGCTCGAAGAATATCGAGCCTCGGTTTGGGTGTTATCCGAAGCACGCTCTTGCCTGGAGTTTAACCTTGAACACAGGCATGAAATTGATGGCGGCAGTCTGCTGTGTTTTGGTCAGTAACTGATCGCAAAAACAGAACTGGGGAAAACCATGTATCTCTCACTATATCTAAAATTTGATCAGGTTGGGTGGACTTGATTCCGTTGTCTTTACAAGTAGCAATTAGTGCATGGAAAATACGTTGGGAGGATGGATGCGTTTATCGTTTACAGGGGGAGGTTTGTGAACTTTGGCTGACAACACAACTTTCTCTCACCTAGTCTCGTCAATTAAGTGACTCGAATGACCAATTGAATGTACATACCATAATCTCGCGAGGATCATCTTCAGGTAGTGGCGCTTCTACTTCAAGTCGACGGTGCAGTCTTCAGCCAGTGACTGTCTTGCATTTGGTTCGATATTGAAGGTCGTTTCCAGTATGAAAGTTTTTTGACTCGAGATGTCATCATGGTTTGGTCAATGAATGAATTCTCAGGGTCCTTGTCTTAGCGGGTTGGAATGCCTGTTGTAGTGCTTCTACAGGGGCATAGACGATCGAGTTAGTGGGGTTATTTACCGCCGGAAGTTTGTGGTGCCTATTTTCTGCTAAGGAAGTCAAGGGACCCTCAAAATGATTCAACATCGCGGGAACAGCAATGACTTTTCATGCAAACATTAAACATCACATTATGGACCTTGGTATAGGAAAAGGCATCAATGATCATCGTTGCCTCTTTTCAAGAAGTATCCTACTTATTTCATGAAAATTGCCATATGAAATTCATTCTTGTCGATGAAACTTGCTTCTTGTAGGTCTTTCGGTGAGAATACCCGACTAATATCCGAGACTCCTTGCTAGCTGATTCATGATACTACCTACTCTGTTTCAGTGACCAAACCAAAAGAAAGGCCTTTGACTAGTTCATCTTCCACATATTGGTGTTTTAGTATTCTCCATTCTGAGCATAAATTCCTCAAGTCTAAGAATATGTAACAGATTCAGGATTCTCAAGACATTTGCAATCAATTTGTTCCGCTAATTGAAATTGTAAGCTCTTCATCAACCCGTAACCTCGAGCACAACACTAACGGGGATTTGCAAGGTCAATTGCGTACTTCTTTAACGTATACTGTCATATACACGTGACTGCAACTCGGGAGTCTTTTGCATGAGCGCGGACCTCATCCTCCCGTGAGGCTCGAATCCTGAAACCACAAGTGAACAGGTGCCGATCTAGGACATTGGCAGTCCCACGGTTGTGCCATGTTGGGAGCCCGTACTCTGCGGTGCTTGTCCAGACCAACATTCAGACTTGCACATTCGACCGTCGTTCACTGCCAGCGGGGGCCCAGACCCAGCGTCAGATGGGCCACCAGCCAGGCTACCGCTGCCTCAGTAGCAGGAGAGGCAGCACCGGCGATTCCTCCGGTCGGCGGCGGCCATGTGCGTCTCCGCAAGTACCAAGAGGAATGCATCCAAGCCGTGTTGTCCTCCCTGGAGCAAGGGCACAAACGCATCGGCATCTCCCTGGCCACGGGCGCCGGCAAGACCGTCATCTTCACCCAGTTGATTGATCGAATCAGGGCCACCTCTCAACATGCAGACCAGACGCTCATCCTGGCCCACCGCCGCGAGCTGGTCGAGCAGGCCGCCAGGCACTGCACGAATGCTTACCCCGACAAGACTGTCGATATTGAAATGGGCAACATGCACGCCTCCGGAACTGCCGACATCACCATTGCCAGTATACAGAGCATCACGTCGGGCGATCGGATGAGCAAGTTTGACCCAAAGCGGTTCAAGCTCGTCCTGGTCGACGAGGCGCACCATATTGTCGCTCCGGGTTATCTGCGGGCGCTGGATCACTTTGACCTGGACCAGAAGCGGCAATCTTCCCCAACCCTGATTGGAGTCTCGGCCACCTTTTCCCGCTTCGACGGCCTGCGGCTCGGTGCCGCCATTGACGAGATCGTCTACCACAAGGACTATGTCGACATGATTGGGGAAAAGTGGTTGTCCGACGTGATATTCACCACGGTGGCATCGACGGCCGACCTCTCGCGGGTGCGCGACGGCGCCAACGGCGACTTTCAGCCGGCCGAGCTGTCCCGCGTCGTCAACACGGACCAGGTCAACGAGATCACGGTGCGGAGCTGGCTCGCCAAGGCACGGGAGAGGCAGTCGACGCTGGTCTTTTGCGTCGACCTCTCCCACGTTTCCGGCCTCACTCAGACCTTTCGCAGCCACGGCATCGACGCTCGTTTCGTCACCGGTGACACTCCCAAGGTGGAACGGAGCGAGCGCCTCGAGGCCTTCAAGGCGGGAAAGTTCCCCGTGCTGGTCAACTGCGGCGTATTCACAGAAGGGACCGACATTCCCAATATCGATTGCATCATTTTGGCCCGGCCAACAAAGTCTCGTAACCTCCTTGTGCAAATGATTGGGCGTGGCATGAGACTGCACCAGGGGAAAACTAACTGTCACATTATTGATATGGTGTCGAGTCTAGAGACAGGCATCGTTACAACGCCTACGCTATTTGGTCTCGACCCAAGCGAGCTGGTGAGCGATGCCTCAGTCGAAGATATGCGCGACCTGAATGCTCGCAAAGAAGCAGAAGCAGAGAGAGCCAATAAGGTCAACTCGTCAAAGCCACAAGCATCCAACGAGGGCGCTGTTCGCAGCCTCACCTTTACAGAATACGACTCAGTCTTTGAACTCATTGCCGACTCTTCAGGAGAAGAGAACATTCGATCAATCAGTCAGTATGCTTGGGTAGAAGTCGGACCGGACCGGTACATACTATCGGTCCCAAGTGGAACATACATTAGACTAGAAAAGGACGAGCCCGCTTTGGACGGAACACCAAGGTTCGGCGCCTGGGAGATTAGAATGCTTCCACAAGGCACGGCATCCAAATCGCCATTCGCGACGCCGCGGCGGCTCCTCGAAGCCACAACTTTTGCGGACGCCGTCCACGGCGCAGACAAGTATGCATCGGAAAAGTTTCCCAATAACTTCATCTCCCGGCGAATGAGGTGGCGTAAAAGTCCGGCCACCAAGGTGCAGCTCAAACTCGTCAACAGGATGCGATCCCCAGACGATCAGCTGACGCCGGCAGACATCACCATGGGCAAGGCGTCCGACATGATTACCAAGATCAAACATGGAGCACGCGGGAGGTTTGCTGCCATTGATGCCGACAAGCGACGCAGGCAACGCCAGGCTACGCTCGTGGAGCAGCAGAAGGAGAGGAAGCTGAGGGAGAAGGTGACTGTAGGACCTTTAAGTGTATAATACTCGAGACATACCCAACTCCAGATGAATAATTCAAAACCTCGCATAGGCCACGGAAATCAGGTGGCCAAGTTGCTGATACATGCCCATTATGGGAGTCCAATTGTCGCTTAGCTGTATGAGCATTTGTCCTAGAACCCTATCGCGCCTGATGAAGTGAACCATTCAACAAACATGAAAGAGGACTTGCAGTCAAAATTGTTTTACCATTAGCTACTTTGCCATAATCACTACTCGATTCTTGTTTTCGCATGATCATTTGATGGGTTTTCCGACTTCGCACCAACTCGACAAGCCATATGAATAGACCTTCTTCGTGACTGGCAAACAATATAGCAACCATGTTGCTGATAAGCGGCCCTACGCCCATCATTTCTGCAGCAAATCGTCCAAGACATGTCCCACAACATCAACAGATTCCAATTTCCTCAATTTCTTCCGCGTTCAGATAACCACGAATCTTTCGATAATGATTCACCACGACAATCCCGAACTCACTCGACACGGTTGCGCTTTTTCCTTGCCTTTGCCTCTTTCTCGGCGGCCTTCTCGGCTGCCTTTTCAGCCGCCTTCAAAGCTTTGGCCGCCTCCTTTGCTTCTGCAATCGCACGATCGTCTGCCTCGACCCCTTCTGTCAAAGGTCAGCACACAGCCGCAAGTTCCACCGATAATGGTATATCCAATGTGTCCTTGTGCATACTTACCAGCACCCCATTGACCTGGTTCCGTCCACTTGCTCAAGCATGCGACACATTTGAGGCCATAGCCAGTTGTGTTCATGGCCAAAATGTTGAAGCATCTCTTGTGGATCTTGATGTGGCAATCAGAGCATTCCACAGTAGGCTTGGCAACATCCGTCGTTTCCTGGAAGCAAATGGGACAGTTGCCATTGGCCAAGAGACCGACACTACCGTCCGAGACTGCTCCGTCATTGGATGCTTGCAAGATGGGCTTGAAGAACTGCTCAAGTTCATCTGAGAGAAAGGCGTTCTACTCAACAAATTGTCGATGTCAGTCATTGCTTTCTTCTGATCGGTCAAGATCGATTGGGCCTTGAAGATATTCAATATTTGGATGCAAAGAAAATCGCGATAAAGTCGATCCTCCAAAGATACTCCAAGAAGAATAGTAACAGTATCAACAACTCACCTGCCATAACAAGGGCTCTGGAACCTTGAGTATGTTGGCGAGGACAGCTGCAACGATCAATAGATAGACAAACGCTGTTAAACATGGAACCCTACCATAGATGTGCTTGCAATGCTCTTGGGCTCGAAAATTCTGACTTCATGTCAGAAGGCTGAGTCCAATAAGTGGGGGGTAGTGCCGGCAGCATGGCATGCTTACTTTGGAAGGACAGTCACAAGTTGGCATCTTGCAAATGCTAACTCGATACTGAGCATTATCGGCCCTGTTGTTCGCCATACAGAACTCGATGGATGGTCCGCCAAACTTGTGTTCTGCGCCATTCTCTCTTAGGCTCATCAGGCAGATAGCATCATTCTTGATGGCTTCCAGCTTCTTGTGATAGGTATGATCGGGACCATCCAGCCATTTCTTCTTGCGCTTCTCTCCGTCGGCACTCTTACCCTTTCCAACCACTCGGCTCACTGCCGGGGTAACACGAGGTTAGCTGGGTAATGTTTTCCGGCGGCAGACGTGGTTTCATGTTTTGAGAGAGTGTATTCTTTGATGGGAAGTGTTCTGGGAAACTACTTACCATCCTCTGCTGGAGGACGGCTCTCGGGCGCCTTGTAGTTGGTGAGAGCTTCTGCAAGCGCTTCAGCTTTTCCGCCAGTTGGCACTGCAATATACAATATTAGAAATACCCTGTCAGAGTGATTGTGGATATTGTAGTGATGTATCATCAAGCAAGAGCCAATATCTCGGTCCAAAGGGAAGGGCACTCACTTTCACGGATGGCACACTCCTCCTTGAGGACTGCATAGGGGATCTCAGTCCAGTCGGTATCGTCGGGCAAGGGACCACAGCCGACGGCAAAGGTACCTTTGCCCTTGCGGAGCAGACGCTGGCTCTGGAGTTCGGGAGGGTATTCGACCACCCGCATGGTGACGCGAGTGCAGGAATCGCCTTGCGATTTGGTAGGGAAGGGCAAGAATTGGTGTCTTTGAGATGCGAAGGCAGGGTTTTGACAGAATATCGGATGAAGGAAGTTTCTTGGGATTAGATGATATGACCAGGAATGATTTGAATTTTCTTGTTTGAAAAAGAGAAGGTAACCCAATTTTTTGTTCTGTGAATTGTGCGAGGGGTACACTCGTCGATTTGTTATTTGGAAGGTGCCTTTGACTGCCGAGATCGAATCGCTCTTTCCAGTTCAACTCGAAACAACTCTAGGCAGAGAGACCTTGTGATTAATGCTGGTCATGAAGCAGTGGACTGCAAGTAGGATCTTGCCTAGTGATGACATATTCTCAATACAGGGGTGAAAGAAGCCCCAAGGATTCTGCTGTGTAAATCTGTAGGTATCAAATAAGGTATTATCTCTGGAAATATCCAGTCCATTGCGATGCTACTCGCAACTACTACGGACTGAGCCCGTATAGCTTAGTTGGAAATGATAACACCATTCGCTCAATCAATTAGTGTATATAGAAGTGACACACATATTTTTGTTTCATTTTTTCTTTAAACGTTGTCTCGACTATCCTTGTAATTTGCTGGTGTCTAAGAAACTGCTGGAAGCACTCGTGGTGCCATTGGACCTTCAATTAGACACCAATTCTCTAGGCATCATGTCCATGACTTTCTTTCGAACCACAAAGAGAATGATGAGCCGCGCTAAAAACAGATTTTCTTGCCACACACGAGAAGGGAGGAGATGTCCTGTAATGGTCATCATAATCTCACATATATTTGTCTAGATCTATACTTGATTAGAGCCATGGGTATCTCGTGGATGTTTAAATCACCTCATGAATCTATAATACTCGCAACTATCTAATCTGCAAGTAAATCTACCCCAACGCCCCTCAGTGCCTCTACAGCCCAGTTGGGATACTGTGCCTTGTCTGAATACAAATCTGCAAAGAACTGTCTCAGAAACGCCGGATACTTGTCCTCAATAATGGCATTCCGTACGTCTCCCATCAAGTGCAGCTGATACCAGACATTGTGTATGCTGAGCAGATGCGCCGCCACCGTCTCTTTGCCCACGTTGTGGTGAACAAAAGCTCGCGTGATCTTGATCGCACCCTCACCCTTTCTGCAGCAGATGCAGCCACAGCCTTCCTCGAGGGGACCGAAGTCGGTGGCGAACTTGGAGTTCTTGATGTTCAACACGCCGTGCTTGGTAATGGCGTTGCCAAACCGAGCCGTCCTCGTCGGCCACACACAGTCAAACATGTCGGCACCCAGGGCAACACTGACAACCAGGTCCTCGGGATAACCAATTCCCATCACATATCGTGGCTTCAGCTCTGGCAGGAGTTCGGTGCACGTTGCCACCACCCGACAAAAGTCGGCCTTGGCCTCACCGCCGCTCAGGCCGCCAATAGCAATACCGGGCGTATCCCTGGCCACCATTTCTTTGCAACACTCGCGACGCATCTCGGTGTCGAGGCCGCCCTGGATGATGCAGAAGAGATTCTGCCGATCCGGGTTCTTGTGCGCTTGAATGCAGCGATCGAGCCAGCGCACACTTCGGTCCATGGCCTCGCGCATTCGGGCCTTGTCTGGCGATGTGGTGACGAGCACATCATCAAGCTGCATCATAATATCACTGCCAATTGTATTTTGTAGCGAGATGGAATGCTCAGGGGTCAGGAGCATGGGAGTTCGGTCATGTGGACTCAGAAACCGCACACCCTCTTCCGTAATGGTAGCCAGGGATAGCAAGCTGACCATCTGGAATCTACAAATGGGTTCAGGTTAGCCAAGATCAGCTCGACATGGTCATCAACCAGTATATAGTGAGATCGTACCCGCCACTATCTGTGAGGATATTGTGGTCCCAGCCTTGCAGCTTGTGCGCTCCGCCAATGGCCTCAAGGGCCTCCTGGCCCGGCTTCAAACCGAGGTGGTAGGTGTTGTTTAGGCAGAGCCGACATCCTGTTTCTTCCAACTGCTCCGGTGTCAATCCCTTGAGCGAAGCCTGCGTTGCCACGGGCATGAAGATCGGAAGCGGTACCGAGCCATGCGGCAAGGTAAGGAGAGAAGCACGGGCCCGAGTTGTCTATGGCCCCCGTCATGTTAGAGGTGTATGTAAATATTTATATAATCGGGCAGCAATCGGCGCTGGGGAGACCGAGGGGTCGGTAGGAGGGTGGGTGGGTAGATGGATAGGCTGGGCTGCATGGGATTGTTTTCTTACGGAGCAACGGGCAACCAGATCAAAAGTCAGGGCAGCAGAAGACTGCGAGGCAATGACGTTGGCCATCCTCTCCAGCATTACCCTTTATTAGCCGTGGGGTCAAGGTTGAGGTACGTAGGTAGGTATGTAGGCAGGTTGGCGTAGGTAGTATCCAGCAGTACTTTTCCTCCCCTGTGAGAGGGCTGCACAATGTGCGTGTGGGTCAGCGTACCTGACGGAAAAGACCCTGGAACTGGCGCCGAGACAAGTCAAGATTTGTCCTTGAAAAATAAAGCTGGTCGTCAGCCTGCCACCATTACCCTTGATTGTTCGGCTTTTCCGCTGCTGCTGCTGTCGCTGGCCCCGTTGCGATTCGTGTAATGTAGGGAATCTAATAAGCTAGTGACCGTTGCCTGTTGCGCGATGCCGCAAGATCTGGAGAAAGAGGTTCAAAGTAGGTTCCTGTTGTTTGACCTGGCTTTGATTCAATTCCACGGACTAGAGTATTCCCAAAAATAGCTGCATCAGTACAATGATATGACGGCACAAACTGAGAGTGACGTTCCGGTCGCTCAATGGTCCAGATGGCATGAAATTAGGGATACTGCTTGGCTTGGATGGCAATCTAGACTTCCACGCGCACTACACACACCAAGAAAATCGGATGAAATCTGAGGCTGTCAATGCTGAAAGGTTGCTTGCGAGGACTCGGGCTAGCTCGGGCTGAACCGAGCCAAATTCAGCCTAGTGGACTTCTAGAAAGCTGTTTAGTGCAAATGCATTCTGTAGCATCCCCCGTCAAGGTACAGGGTAATTGAACAACAGCGTCTTGTTAAGATCCAGCAGTGAGCACTGACTCCGTGTTTATTCAAGTGTAACCCCGTTGTTGCTCCCTTGCTGTAAGAAGTGAGTTTGTAGTCTTGATACAGATGACCTACATATTTCACAGGTACGGTATTCCTGCTTATAATCCATCAACCCGTAATATAACTGCTTTCTGACAAGGATCTAGATCATATAGCCTGCACCATCGGGAGTCTACGGGCCTGGGGCCTACCAAGAATAATTCCCGAAGGGGTCCTGGGCAACTCTTCTTCTTTTGGCAATGGCCATTGCCCCCAACCAGCATGGTTGCGCCGCACAAATTGCAAACATCGTACGATGCGGATTTTCGTCCGTCTTGTCCCCTTGCTTCTGCAGTATGTATCCTCTACTAGAATAGGCAGCCCTGCAGCAGCCGCCCTTCAAGCACCGGCAATCGGAACGCAGATCGGGATGGCGCAGGCGGCATTCGGTTGACTGACGGGTCACGCGATGGTCAGTGCCAGCGCGAAAAGTGAGAAAAAGCAACGAGAAGGTGAGAGAAAAGGATGTCAGATGAAAACTTTTCCCCATCACCGACATTTGCTTCATATCATGCTGTTGTTGCTATTTTACACCTCCAAGGCACTACACCACTCAACGTATTGAGTACTAGGTAGTAAGCCAACAAACAGAGTTCAATCTAACACATTGAGTAATCGTCATCTTTTATTCAAGTGTTCAGAGACATTTCAGCTGCTTCAGGCTTTTAGCACAGCACTCGCACGACATCCTGGGAAACCTCCAATCTACACTAAGCATCAACTGGGTTCATCCATTACGGCTGTGGCTGCCCGAGGCGTACGGGGTCCTAAATGCGTGGCATTGCAGGGGTCACCCATTAAAGACTTTTGACATCCATGGCCTGATCTTTGTTCCGCCATGTGAGAGGGCGACTGACCATAATTTGTTCCAACGCCCGACTATCAACTCCCTCCCCACCTACATACTCCTAGAAAAGTTCTGACAACGGGAACTTGTTATTATACTTGGCAAGTGACCCAGTCGTCCCTGCTGAGCCTTAAAGGCTTTGATCGTACGACAAATGTCTTGAGCCCAGTACACATTGGGTCATACAAACTCTCTATACTCTTTCTCTCTCTCCCATCCTTGTCATCTGATTCGCTGCCCACTCGATTGAACCACGAGTCCGGAGAAACCATGTCGCATTTTTCCTCATTTCACCTGTTCTCTTCACTGCCCACCGAGATACGGCTGGAGATATGGCAGTATAGCTGCTCATCACCACGGGTAGTCGAAGTCTACTACGACGCAAAGCTGGACCAATGTACAACCATTACACCACCGCCCGCCATTCTCCAGGCCTGCTCCGAGGCTCGGCGTGAAGCTCTGCGCATCTACAAGCCGCTTTTTGGCACCTCGACGCATCGGGCCAGGATTTACTTTCACCCCCAGCTCGATACTCTCTACATACCACGGCCGCCGTCCATGGGGTACGACGACAATGCCAGGGACTTTGCCGAGCTGTGCACGGGAGCTTCCGAGGTTGTCAACTTGGCCCTCGACCACGTCAACCCCGCCATTAGGAAACCGTGGGAGACGTACAACAAGTATGCCTTGATGTCGAGCTTCCCCAAGGTCATGGAAGTCTACCTGGTGCTCGACTCGGTCGTAAATTGCGATCGTGCGGTCGGGAACAATGGCAACAGTGCAAAACACGGCTTCATCAAGTTGGCCGAGCCATTGGGCGACCCGACGGAGATTTGCAAACTACTCCAGGATGTCAAGATGTCCTTCACGTACGAGGTTGGTGCAGATTTTGGGACAGATGGAGGCGCTGAAGGAGTGCCAGAGCCGCCAGTCTTGGTTCTCAAGGCAAAGGTGGAAACCGACTATCTCCGGCTACTATGATGCAGTTGACATTGGAAAACCTTTGACAATTGCTGCGTACTCAACATCAATACCAGAGCCTCGGGGTTTAAATGGCTAGAAAGGAACCCGCGATCTTTTCAACTGTGTGTGCCACGCAAATCGAGCAGTTTTATCGCACGCATGAGCGAGGCAGATATATTGCGAAGGGACATTAATAAAATGGGTGAAGAGTTGTAATAAGTACAACCCTCCATGCATCAAACTATAATAGGGGTAAGTGCATCTCAGTCGCATCGACGACTGTGTATAAATAACAAAAGCCGCAAGGCGGGAAATGGAGGCCATTGGGGGATTGCATCGGCTGCAAGGAGTTAATGAACGGTCATTTTTGGGTCATGGGATGGGAAGCATCAACATTGTCGGCGTTTGATATGAGTTTATTGCGGTAGATAGTACTATCAAACACTATACCAACATCTATCGGAGAGGGGGACATATTATGTACCCTTTGTTGTGTTTCCCAATTAAGACCTTGGAATCTGCAAAACTTTACATGCATGGCCTAGGGTACTGTTGGAAGCAGTCCACGCAGCACTTGATGACACTCGCCGACACAAACGATTGTTGTAGTTGGTGACATTTCCTGGGCATCTTGAATACCTGTGTTAGCTCAAGTCCTTGAAAGGGCCGCGCTGTCTGAGGTTCGATGTGGGAATAAATCCTACTATTGTACATACCAGTCTTCCAGTTTCCCCCGAGTAACTGGACCGTTTACACAGCGCAGGGGACAGATATACAAGATGGTTTCAGCCCTTGCACTATATGACCAGAGACGACTATGGTGATAATGATAGACTGGAACCGGTTTGAACAAAGTGCCGCCAAGCAGTTGAGAAATAGACACCTATATATCTAGAGAGAAAAAAAAGTTCCAATATGCTCATGCCCGATGCCCGATGCCCAACTGCCCATTTCATTAGAGTGTAATTCTTGTCAGTCTCAACCATCAAATTGGAAAGATACCAAACTGCAATGGAGATCATGTCAAACCGTTTGTAGTATCTCATCAATTTTCCGTTTCCATTGCAAACGAGGAAAGCACGTCTTTTGTGCGTCTGGCTATTGTTACCCGCTTCGATATGTAGGCTCCCGCCATCAAGCTACATCATCATCGCTACTGCCATCTTGTTCCAACCAAGAAACAAAGACAACACATCAAATGGGGGTGTGGTCGAGTGGCAAGACATTCGCTTCGCAAGCGAAGGATCCCGAGTTCGAACCTCGGCATCTCCATTGCTTTTTTTTTTTTCCTTCTCAACTCTTTCTTTCTAGTCATCTTTCCTGCTTACCATTATTTATATCTTTATTTTTCACCATCTTCTAAACTGTTCAGCATACGCACCTCTCTATCCAGGTCAACAGATAGCCCCATTTTCATGTTTACATCCAATCCTGTCCCTTTAGATCTGTTAGACCTGGTCACCGACACGCACGGGTCCATCACGCGAGTGTCAGGGTGAGCCAGCCAGAGATTCATCATCCATTATGTGTGTGTGGGCTTGTGCCGGTTTCCAGTTCATCAGAACAAGCAGAAAAGACTGTTCGAGCTCCAGGCGCGTAGACTCTGATGAGTCTCACATCCAAGTAGTTCATGCGATCGATGTGGCTTGTGCAATATCTCTTAGTATCATATCTTGATACTCTGAAAGCGCCCGTATTTGATTTTGGATTCTCCATGATCGATATGCCAATGACCACCCACAAGAAGACCAAACGCCCGAGCAATGGATCAAAAGGCCAAACAGGTGTTGTTTTTTGTCCACCGGAGACGTGGCCGCCAGCGTCATGGAACAGTGTTAATATTTGGGTAACAGGGCACAATTGTATTTGTCTCCCACCTCTAACCAGCTGTTGTAGTTTCCCGCGAATGCTCGTGCTGAGTTTGTGATGCTAGCCAAGCCTTATATTATGAAAAAAAGGTTCATTCAATGTATCTGAAATCACTGCCCCAAATGTCTAATGATTATTTGAATTTGTATTGTAGTTCACTTAAAACCTGTCTGTGGCTTTCTTGGGTAACACCATGCTCCCTATGATGGGCAAATTTCACCATCAACATATAGCAGTACGCCTGCTCATTTGTAACCATTTGTTAAATGCCCTAGTTCCCTCGATCACGACAACCTCCAACTCTCTATTCCTCAGACACCTGAAGACCCTCTCGCAGGCCCTCAACCTTGAGCTCCTCACCCGTAGCACGCTTGTAGATATCTTGCACGTCGTCGGTGGTGGTCTCAAAGTGCGAAGTGGCATCGTAGCTCTTGGAGATGAAGATGTTGTCCTTGGAACCATCCTCAAGAGGCTCGTACAGCGGGATAGGGGGGCCCTGTAGGATTTCCAGTTAGCCGGACCGTCCCATATGCACATACATGTGTCTGTTGATCTCAAACTTACCAGGAATTGCTCCTCAATCTGGCCAAGACGCTCCAGACCAGGCTGGAGCTCGAGGTGGTGGTTGGCAGAGGTCTCGGCAATGGTCGAGACGATGGCAATGTAGTAGCCCTTGGGGCAAACGTTGTGTGCCGAGGAGATACAAGCAATGTAGATATCGTTCTTGCGGCCAACCTGGGACTGGGGAATGATGAGCTGAGCCGAGTCGGCGTCACCGGTACCAGCCAGAGGGTGCTTCAGCACGCAGATGGCCTTCAGGACGTGGCCGACGACCTTCACCTTCTGGGGGAAGTAGCTGGGGTCACCAAGGATGAACTTGGCCTTGGTCTCAAACTTCATCTCGGGCTCAATACCGCCCATGGTGGCCTTGATTCCGACGGCCTTGCTGCCTTCGTACAGAACCTCGTCGACAGAGGTGTTCAACATGTAGGTACCTCCGTAGATGGCCGACAGACGGGCAAAGCCCTGGGGGAGCTCGCCGAGACCGTACAGGGGGTAGATGTAGGGAGACTTTCCGTAGCGAGCCACCGAGTTACCGTAAAGGCGAATGCGCTCAATGGCCTCCGGAGCCTTACCGACGGCAGTGAGGTAGCTGTCATCGAGATACAGAGCCATGGCGTGGCCAATAAAGTCCCGGGTGCCGGTCTCGAGGCCAAACTTGTCGTAGACATCCTTCATGGAGACCGAGGAGAGGTCGAGACCTGAATGTCGTGGATTCGTCAGTCTGCATGACTTGCAACATGGTGATTCACTTGGATCACTCACCCTTGTGCGTGCTGGCATCGGCAGCGTCAAAAGTGCCTACCCACTCGATGAAGCTCTTCATACGGCGCTTCTCGAAGATGCCCATGAGGGGCGATCGCAGAGCTTCGGCGGCATCTGAGGGCACCTTGGCAACGGTGGCCTTGGAGGCAGCGCCTTGCTGGACGTAGCTGCCAGCAACCTGCTTGAACTCGAGGTAGCGGGTGACATCGGTAGAGACCAGGATGTTGGTCAGCTCTCCAGACGACATCAGCAGCTTGGGCACCAGGTCGATGTTCCAGTCTGCGGGACGGCCATACTTCTCCCAGGGCTTGGAGCCTTCTTGGAAGTTTCCGTACTTCTTGAATAGCTGTTTGTGATTGTCTTAGCCTGACTTGTTCCTATGTTCTATGGGTTTGGGCCGTGGTAGCGGTGGGTGAGGTTGATGATGGATAGGGGTTAGGGGTTCAAGCTCGGCGGACCACCATGGGAATGAAGAGTAGAATCGTACCGTTTCGAGGTTCACTGAAGCAGCCTCTCTGTTGTAAAGTTGATTAGTTGACATTCCAGGATAGACAAGATCTAAGGGGGAAAAGACTATTACTCACCCTCCGTAGTGGTCGTTGCGGTCAATGTGCAACACCTTCTTGCCCTTGACACTGAGAACACTTTATGCACCATGCTGATTAGCTCCTTGCTCTGGTTTTCAACGCTGTACAGTTGATCAAACCTACCCAGAGAGAATACACTCGGTCAGACCTGCGATTTCCTTGCGCGTCAGCCATCGTGCTCATATAGCAGCGTCGTTGTTCTTCTTCTGCCATCAACCGTGCCGGAGCTCCTGAACCCCACCAAGGAGGCACGCGGAAGAGCAGCACAGCAGACTTGCGGTGCGGGGCAGCAAACTCACCAGTGCCGAGCACAATGACATCGTATTCGGGGGCGATCTCATCCATGGTGTCGTGTGTGTTTTGTTTGCTGAGAGGGTATCAAAAGAAGAGAAAGAGTCGTAGAGTTGATAGCAACTAGTAACCAAGAAGAAAACGCAAGAGAAATGCTTCTTCTGGGGGAGTGAAAGAGAAAAAGTATCGGTGAAAGGGATGGCCGTTCTGGTGTTGTTCAATAAGGCCCCCGTTGGAGCTGCAACTTAGACCCATTTTGGGTCTGCAACCAATTGGCGGGGTCCCGCTTCGCATTTGGGGGGGCTCCAGTGCTCCATTGCCTGAGATGTGTCCCAGATGATCGCCATAGTCAATGCAGCTATCCGACCCAGGATCCTCAATTCTAATCCCAAATAGTCTGTCTGTCTGCCTGCCTAGTACTATGATTAGAACTGATGTCTCTTATTTCCACAATGTCAAACCAGAGACGGTTTTGCCTGAGAGCTTCGATTCTTATGGTGTCGCTCTCGAAGACTACTACTATCACAGGCAATGCGGCTCAATGTGATCTGCAAACAACACTAGGCTCTCTAGTACAAGGACGCCCATCATAAGCATTTTATGGAGCTGGCTTGTGCTCTAGGACGCAATGTCCAGAATATATTACACAATTTTACAGTACCCGGCTCCTATTCTCGAAGCCCATGGCCGTGCGAATCTATGACTCCCCCATTAGGTGTACAGACTCCTGGATTGAGCTCCGTGCGTCTCCACGCCTTATATAGTACATCTCAATATATTGCACACTAGAAGCCACTCGTTATGTCCTGGACACGGGCTGGCTGTCTGCTGACTTTGGTAGGGCGGATGGGTCAATCGTCACTTCTACAGGCTTTCCAGTCTCTTGTCTTGCACCCTCGGCCTCGATTGCCGGGGCACCTGCCACCTCTTCATCAAAATAGTTCTTCGGGGTGTATGGGTTGTTCGTGTTGGCGAGATCGACCTCCGGATCTTGCTCGGCCAGGTCCCTCGCGTCCTCCCATGCGTAATAACGCTCAGTGAGGGCCTGCTTAATAGACTTCATTGTCTTTGATACCTGTCAAAAGGGGAAGGGAAATTAGCATGGTCCACATATCACGATGGCTTCGTGTTCTTCTGGAAAACGTACCGCTCGCATCCTCTCCTTGCTCTCCTCCTCGCCCGTCTTGAACTTGAGTCTCGTCCTCTCCCTGCTCGCCGTTGCGATTCTGTTCCTCTCCTTCACGCAGACCCACCACAGCTTGTGCAGGTCATCCCAGCTCTTGTGTCGCAGTTCTTCAACAGTCCAAGAGCGTCCATGTTGTGCCTCAGCTTCCGGATCCAGTAATGACCTCTCCTTGTCGTAGAAGAACTCGTACAAGCCATGCTTGGGATCTGTCTTGACCTCGTCCGCCGGGTTATACTCGGCTGGCTCAGGTAGTTCGTAGCCATCAACTGCCATGCGTGCCTTTGTTCCGGATCGATAGATTGCCGAGAGACCTCGAAGTCTGCTGTTGTCACGCCTGGGCTTGCGCATCTCGAGCGAGGCAGTGGTCGAGAAAGGGGCCGATGCAGAGTTCGGGGACGAGCGCGCGGCCAGAGCCAGGCATTGCGAGGGAGCGCGCTGAGTAGAACGCTGCAGAATCCGACCGATCACCGGTCGGATGGTTGTTGGACTAGCCATTGTATCTTTCGATCGTCCAAACCTCGGGTTCGAGGTCGTAATTTTGGCGATGGCAGTCTCAATTGCAGATCGGGCTGAAGCCTTGCAAGGTCGCGAGCTCAAGCTAGGAATTTTTCTATGTGGCGCACAGACATTGAGCGCCACACTTCTACGCCACATGTAGTATAGCATTACTTCCCACCTCCTCGATTCGTGAGTGTCATAATACATTCGAGACCTTGGAACAAGTGTCCGTTTTCAGGCAGAATATGAACAATTTAATACAAATTATGACGTTTTTTTTTTCCCAGTATAAAATGAAGTCAAACATTTACGTGTCAGCTATCATCCACAGCCATCACCGCATTGCTACGCCCAACCACAATATACTCACTTTGTAATTCAAAAAGTTCAATTGGTTTCAACTCAAAGATTCATTTATGAGGTAAAACTTGTGAGGAACATTTTCTGTCGCGGGTTCTTTGCGTCCTTTAATATAGTGCTTGAGGTACACAAGATGGTATCTAAAGGTATGACTGTGTATTGGTCGATCCTGTGCTTCGCTTGTGTTGTTACTTTGGGTGCGTGCACTCGAAGTCTATGGTGCAGAGGCAAGATGATTTCCTAGGGAGAACCACCATGATGCAGTTCAACTACTGGCTCAAGGCGCACCCGGAAATCTGATTGTCCATCTCGGAAGTACTATTATCACTTTCGGATTAGTCAAAAGTCACTCCCTTTTCAGAATTACTATTATCTATGGGTTTTACAGCTCGAAGCTCAATGAATTTGGGAGACCGAAACTCGTGATGCTAATCCTGCGAGAAACCAATCAGGGAGAGCTTGTAACAACAGATCATGAGAACATCCAAGTACACTATCAGAATGGCCCAGCCATACGATCAGTCGTACTTCTCCGGTAGCGATAGGCTTATGAATGCTTTTACGAGTGTCAGCTTCTACAGCGACCTCATATATGGCTCTCAGCCCTACACAGAGGCCAAGCGTTCACATACTTTCTGTAAATCTGGATATCCGCACAACTAGGGCTGAGGATAAAGTGTAAGATTCCCTATGAGAAACAACTAAAAGTTTGCGTCCTCTTCGAATGCCTAGGCGCTTCGGAGGACCCATCAAATGAGGCTCCTTGTACTCCTCAAGTTGATGGGTGGATTTGAACAAATTTTAAGGGGAATTGGACGCCCCCAGACATGCTAAAGTCATGCAAACTCCATCCAGAGGATAGAGATTGCAATGCAGTGTAAATTTACAGCTACCCGGCACCCGTACACACTTTTGCGCCGAAAGAAAGGATATAGTAATTGGCAAGAAGGGAGTTGGAAATTTCTGGATGTTTTGCATAATTACTTCCCTAATAAGCGAGTTTTTTTTTAAAAAAAAAAAGTTCTGTCTGGTTTACTTAGGGATATTCGGCATATATCTATAATTTACAACCTGCGAATCTCCTTGGGCGGGAGCCGTATTATACATGACATCAATAGTTGTTCATTAGTACGGATATACTCGCAAATGAATAATGCGGCGGAATAATTAAGATAAATCACAAGTTGCAGATTTCTTTTTCTTTCTCAATGAGGATAGTGCAAATAATATTCTGCTCGGCTGCCACCTGCCTAGGTATGAACTACTCGGTGGCTGCTCTCTTTGGGCTACAGAGGTGTAATCTGAACAAAAAACTTGGACCTTTTGATCATTTCTCATTATTCTGAGACCTTTCGTTCGCAAAGTCTGCATCATTCTCATACGTTCCATCTTGGGGTGCAAGGTGATAGGTATCTGTGTGGCACCTGCTTCCTGAGTCTTATATTCAGGTCACATGGGAGGACAAATCACAAAATCCGAGAATACAATTGCTTATTCCATGCAATTCCTAGTTTCGTGTGAGCGTGCTTCGCTTGAGAGACGCATGGAGAGGCTTTTTTTTTTTTTTTAAAACCATTTACAAGCGAGGCAGCCGCGCAATTCAAGGACTCTCTTTTGAAGTGCATGTTGAAGTACTTATGCGATGTTTGACATGAACATGCCGAGTACATATCCAACCAACTATGTCCGAACCGGCGACCGGTCAAAAGTGAGCACTTGAGTCAAAAGCATTGTTAATCAAGTCCTGACACCTTCCCAAAGCATAAGCCTAGAATTACATTCATGCAAACCTTGCACCTGAGAATTGCCGCAGGGCTGAGGGTAAAGGTTGTGATCGTGGTCATCTCTCACGATCAGTTTTTGAACACGGAGTAAGTGAACAATTGTTGAGCACTCGAAGGGAAAAGGCTCATGTCGACCCGACATTCGTCGATAAGTAGTCCCAAAAAGAAGTTGTCACCAGCCTCCTTTACAAGCCAGATTCGAACCGGTGTCTTATATCGCTTGTTTAGGTTTCGCCAAAGGACTCACGCCGCAAAAAATGCATCTCACGCCCCCCAAAGACAGTATATCTGCTTCCGAACCAATAGCAGCGACATGCGACGTGCTACGCTACACAGCTGATTTTGTATATGGATTTATCCTCCCCGGAAAATCCATCCGCGAGCCGGGCGGCACCTGCATGAATTACTTTTCTTTTTCTCGTCCTCCCAACCCTGAGGCGCATACGACTGCAGCAAAGTATCTGTACATTGAGAACATAGGGAACTTCTTCGGCCACAATCGTGAGAGAGGGGAGAAAAAAAAGGTTAAAACAAAGGGGAAGAGAAACAGGTCAAGGCGTTTTTGCAACGTTACGCAATGATGCACCGACAATTACCGACAGTAAGAAAAACCGTAATGATGCTGCCGCCACTTCAGCTTCTTTGACTTATACATCTTCCAAGCATATCCGTGCCTTGGTATACATCGCTCTCGTACGATTCATGCGCAACAATCGGGGGGATGTACTCTGTATGTCAAAGCCAAACGCCTGATTTGTAGCCAAGTCCTTGTATGATTTTTTGTTCATTGGCCATCATTTAATATCAGCTATTGCCCTGCTGTTTAATGTGACATGTGATATGATCACCTCAGACACCCCCGCGATAGCGGCTAGTGCAGAGAACAATGCCCTCACGTGCTCGGTGAGCATTTCTCAACAGTCATATAAATGTGTATACCCGCTTGGAGACTGAATGATGTAGGTTTGCTGCTACGGCTAAGGCATGGGTATCCGTACCTGTTCAATTACGAACAGTTGCGCCAGGAATATGCACCTGAACTAATGCAACAAGGAGCCAAAAAAAAAAAAAAAAAAAAAAAAAGACACTTCATATATGCATTATAAAATTGTGATTCGACAAGTGTCAAGTACAAGTCTCTACTTTTATCTCGCCCCTTCAAGTGTAGACCCACCGGTTCATGCTCGATCTGCGGCCCTGTCGTCGTTGTCGAATCAATCGGGATACTATAGACTCGAGCAGCGCAACCCGTCAAGCGGGAAGGGCAGTACAGGTTATCAGATTCGGAACAATGATCGCCGATTTATTGCAGGAAGATTGACCCCTTGCATCGCGCGAAACCAGAAGAAAGCAGCACAGCATAGGCGGCCGAGCCAGATACTATCATTTTACTAAAAGTTGATGACCGATTGAGACAAGTAAAGCCAACCCGGCAAAAGAGCCCAGTCTTGTCGCATATCATGGAGTAGAGAACAAAACATGAACAGAGCATTTCGATCATCCATGTTAATATTGTTGAGTTGGTCTCCGTGCTCCAAATTCCGTATGCCAAAATCTTGAAAGTAATTCCAAACAGGTCGTCAGCCATGAAGACTGGGAAAAGTATAATGCAAGGATGTCAATAATTCGTAGTGGTCACTCTGGGTTTAGGAAGACCCTGACAACCAGCTGCCTCAGTGCCCTCAGTCATGTCAGCCCTACAATTAGACATGCGAACTCGTCTAGATGTCGTAACTCCTACCATCTTATGCGGTATATTCACTAGATGTACCTGTGCGATGCCGACTCTGAGGCGTTTGGACCTTCAGAATGTAACAAGGTCGAGCATACGTCAATAGCATACGATTTGTGTTGTCTCTGCCATAAGACTCAAAAGTCACACGGCCTTGTTGATATTGAACCTTGTTACGAGTCCCATGTTCTTGTCACAGCCACGAGAGGGTTCGTTACGAGTGAGTGACGAACTAATAATGGTGGGCGAAAATAACGAGGGGTTCTCTACCATGTGCTGACGCGGCCACGGACGGTAGAGCTGACGTGGTGTCTTGGGTTCGTCGTCAGGATGACCTTTATATCATTCGACTCGCTTTCGTAATACATCGTGTTTCGAACGGGCGACGGGAGACGTAAGCGTTGGGAGAGAAAAGGGCGGATGAGAGATTACGTCGTCAAGAAGCTGCGAGGTAGATGGATGCAGCTTGCCATGAGCATTCAAATTTGTGACGACAATTCAAGCCCGGTAAAACGGACAAGGGCATGCATACACTTATTCATGATTTCAGGCCTACAACGAGAAATTCATCGAGAGCCCTTGAATTGCACATAAAACCAGGGACGCATAATTGTATTGTGGTGCCCTTTTGCAGGCTTGCTTACATGGTGGATCTTTTTGACTCGGCTTCCCGGAATGGCTTCCTATCAACGGCTGCCCGAAAACAAAGACTCCATCCGTCGGGATACTGGGGAAGGTTTTTTGGTTGCAGAAAAACATGTTACCCGTGTGGACCACAATGGATGGCCTTGTAAATGGAGTATTTAACATGTCTTGGGAAATGTTTAAAAAATGGAGTCAAGCTACCCTTGGCCCATATCAGCCTGATGTGCTGCTGGACTGGAGACGGCGGGAGGCTGAGGGAAGGTGTGGGATTGGATCTCAAGTGAACCGAGAGCCTCTCTTCCTTCTCCAGTCCAGCGAGGTCCAGCTCCTCTGACTCCTCCCCCGGGGCACCAAGTTAAGGCCAGGTCCAGCGGCAGCGGGCTGGCGGCCACACCAAAACTCAATGCCACCAACCCGGAAGCTTCAGATCGGATGGAGCATGGAGCCTCCTCCCACTTCAAAAACCCGCAGCCCGC